CAAAACCTGAAGGCAGTGTGGGGAAGGCTGGGGCCCCAGGGCAGACTCACCTTCCTGCTGCACTGCGTTGGCCACAGCCTTCTTCACCCGCCCAGACTTCACGACAGCTGGGTCTGAGTTGGCATAATCTGCCACCGTCACTGCAGAGAGGGGGAAACAGGGGTCACAGCGATTAGGGATTATGGGGAGGGGACAAAAGGGCTAAGAGTCACGATGACTAAAGGGAACAGTCCCCAGAGGAGTAGAGGCTCGAAGAGGAAATGCACAAGCAGGAAAATGAGCCTCAGCAAAGATGTGCAGGCCAGGAGTCCCCAGAAAGTCTCTATTCCAGACCATCGGTCAACCAGGCTCAGGCGACCCACGCCCCCACCCAGCCCAGCGCAATTCTCCTTCTCCCACCACCTCAGCCAGTGATAATCCCATTCTCCCTCACACAGCCCAACTCGAGCCTGGCTGATCCTCTGCTCTCAGGCACCTCCTCCACAGGCAAGGAGGTCTTATTGCCACACATCCGTCCAGAACCCCGCTGGGGGATCCCTCCTGGACGCAGCTCTCTGCCTGCACAACGCCGAGAGGGCTCAGCTCACTCCTAGGTGAGACTGGACCGTCCTCCTTCCCCTCATCCCTCTCACCCAGGCTAAGCTCAGGCCCTTTAACAATCTCCTCCCCCGGGCCCTAATGCGGGCCCAGGCCTCCTCTCCGGCGTGCACCAGCAGGGCCAAGCTCGGCCCGGCTCACCTCAGGCCCGCCTTCCCTTACAGTCCCCGCTCCCCCATCGGGCGCCGCTCCCCTCATCAGCCCCGGCCCCCTCAGCCGCGGCCCAGGCCCGGCCCCGCCGGCCCGGCCCGGCCCGGCCCGGCTCTCACCTCGCTCGGAGCACACGTCGTCGGCGCGAAACTTGAGGCGTTTGCGGGCGCCCCTGCGGGGCATGGCGGCGGCGGCGGGGCGGCCGCGCGGGGCCATGTCCGGCCGGGCCCCGCGGGGACAGCGGGGACAGCGCCACAGCGCCCGCCCCGCGCCGCGTCAGCGCCGCGACACCGCGCGCCGCTCTGACATCACCGGGGCTGTGACATAACACCCAGTCCTGAGGGGAGCGTCTCCCGCAGTGCTCCCCGTAACGCGGACCCCTGAGGGGATTCCTCCTCCCAGTGCTGAGGGGATCGCCCCGCAGTGCTCCCAGAAAGGGGGACCCCTGAGGATTCTCCCTCTCCCAGTGCTGAGGGTCCCTGAGGGTTTCTCCCTCCCCCCACAGTCTTATCAGTAACAAGAGCACTTCAGGAGATTGCCCCGTTCAAATTCAGGAGATTTCCCCCCAGTAAAGGGGATCCCTGAGGAGATCCCTCCTAGTAATGAAGATCAATAAAGCAATTGCCCCTCTCGTAATGGAGGTGTTTGAGGGATTGCCCCCTCCCAGTTCTCTGTTAGCAGGGGCCCTGAGGGGCTTCCAGGCTGCCCCAGTCCTCCCAATAATGGGGGTCCTAAGGGGATTCCGTCCAGTACTGCGGGGCTGTGAGGCAACTGCCCCCTCCCGGTAACGAGGGCGCTCGAGGGGATCCCCCACACACCAGTCCTCCCAGTACTGAGGGTCGCTGAGGTGAAGGGACCCCCATCCTCCCAGCCACAAAGGCCTTAAAGCATGCCGGCTCCCCAGTACTCCCAGTAACGAGGGCCTCTGAGTAAACGGGTCCCCAGTTCTCCCAGAACATGGATCGCTGAGGGAATTGCCCCCACATCCTCCCTGTAACAACAGCCCCTGAGGTAACTTCATTCTCCAGTCATCCCAGTAATGAGGGGCTCTGAAATGATTGCCCTTCCTCATCATCCCAGTACGGGGGGGGCTCTGAGATAATTGCCCTTCCCCATCATCCCAGTACAGGGGGGCTCTGAGGGGATTCCCCCCATCCTCCCAGCAGGAAGGGTCTCTGAGGAAATTGACCCCCCAGTAAAAGGATTCTGCAGTGATTGCAGCCCCCCTAGGGCTCCCAGTAAGGAGGAACTCTGAGGTGATTGCTCTGATGCACCCCCTGTTGGAAACAATGGAACTTTTAAATAATAATTTTAGTTAATAGTTTTTATTAACTTTTAAATAAATTGCTTTAATTAATCATAACCTATAAATTATAAATAGTGTGTTATTCTTAAATTACTCTTTTCCAGCATTTAGCAAAGTTGCCATGAGCCACTTTTGTAGGAGCACAGATTGGGAAAAGTACTCAAACTGAAGTTTTGATAAACTAAGTGTGATATGCTTCAATGAACAAAGCCAGGGAGAGCAGAACATATTGGTGAGGTTGGACATCTGGAATGTTGAATTTCTGAGCTACAGGGGCATTTTGCAGAAACCTGAAGATAAAGAAGAGCCGAACAAGACTCCATCTATGTGTTAACAGTTCCTACTTTCCAAAGCTACTAAAAAGACTAAAAAGATGGACTAATTAACATAAGAAGTGAGAAATCAGTAACCGGTAGAGGATAGAATAGTATTAAATGAAAGAGAATGATAAGTGAATAATGGAATTTAGACCAAATGAAGTTCTGTTTTGTTTGTTTGGGGTTTTTTTTGTTGGTTGGTTTGGTTTTTTCTTCTAAAAATGTATAAACACATGAAAAGGTTTTGTATTTTTGTCTGTGGGGAGGCTGGAACCCTGTTGGCCACACACACCCTGGCCAAGGATAAAGTAATGCCATTGACACTAAAAAGGCTGTGTTGTCGGGGTTTATCCTGATGATTTCAGAGGATTTGGAACACTCCCAGGAGACACCCACTGAGCAGTGCCCAAGCACAGCCCACACCACGGGCTCGCAGTGCCACCCACACCTCTGTGGTGGGAGCAGTGATGGGTGCCCACCAGCTGTAAACTGCATTTGCTATTTTTTAGGGCTGAAATCAGTGCTCAGAGCTTGCTGAAGGAGTGGTGCCACCCCATGGGGGAGGAATTGGTTCCAGGGGATCTGCAAAGAGAAATTGTGACTGGCAGCCCAGGGGCTGATGGTGATTTTGGGGCCTGTGTTCCCCTGAGGTCTTGTGCCCTGCTCACAGGGGGATTTGGGCACTGCCAGGAGCTGGCTGGAGTCCTGCCCAGTGCTGGGGTAAACTGGGCAGGCTGGTGGAATCCTGCTCCCCTCCTTTGGGGTTTACACAGTGACCAAAGAGCCCAGCCCTGCCCCATTCTCCCTCAATGACTCTGAACACTCCAGTGCTGCATTCCCACTTGTGCCCCTTTCCTACAAAACTTCAGGAGAGGATTGGAATGACAGCGAGATGTTTTCACAGCTGTGGTGTCAGCTCTTGGGCCTCTCCAGAGCAGGATAAAGCATGGAATATGGACAAATCCAGGAAATCCACATTCCTTCTGCTTCCCAGCCATGGCCAGGAGCTGGTACGTCTGTAACCTCCCTGCCCGACCCTATTTCTCTCAGCATTTCTCAAATAAACAAGAAGGAGCATTTTATCAGCGAGGAGCATATTTGATTGAGAAAACTTCTGATCATCCCATGCAGGAAAGGCCATTCCTTGACAGAAAGGCTACTCCTAATCCATCTGTTCTTAAGGCAATGGATATAAATTAATGTGGATGGCAGTCAATAAACCAGATCCTGGTGCTCCTGGCTGCACCCACCTCTTTACTTGAAAACGTTTTCCTTGGATTATCCTATTCATCATTGCTATTTGAGAACTGTATCACAGTATTATTTTTTTAAAAGTGAAGCTTGTCTTGGCTTACAAAACTCTGGCACGTGGAAAAGAGATGAAATGTTCTTGGGACTGAAGGCAGTTGTTCCTGAGTCTGGCTGGCGGCGGGTGGATCTAGCACACTCCCTCCTCTGGTGGGTTGGAGGCATTTATGTGAGACCTCCTCAGGGTCCTTCAGCAAAAATCCCGAGGATGAGCTCCATGTCCTTCCTGGAGAGAGGAAGGTGCTGCTCTATGATGCTAATGATCCCAGTTGTTCCCAGTGGGGTCCCAGAAAGGAGCTCTTCGTTGGTAGGCAGGGTGAGGACTGCTGAGGGATCCCAGAGGCTGTGCCAGGGGCTGTGCTTCCAAGGACCCCAAATGAATTGTTTGGGAAGGATGCCCCTGTGCAGGGCAGGATGATGAAGCAGAGTGGACTTTTGGCAGCTCCCGCTGAAGTTCATGGTTGCCCTCTGCCCCAAATCCCATTGATGATGCCAAAGACATCCTTGAGGGGAGCCCGGGGTGACACATCCCCCAGGGCACAGAACTGAGCCTGGCAGGGTGAGGAGGGGTCTGGGGCACTCCGGGGGTCACTGCCTGGCTCCATCGCTGCTCCCCACATGGTGGGGGGACGGGGCACCCAGGGCTTCGGACACCCCACAGCCCGGGTCTGCTCCTGCCTCCCTCCCTCCCTGCGGGGCTGGACAAGACCCCTGGGGGAGTCCTGCCCCTGTGTGGACTTACACACCCCGAAGAGGTTCCTGTCTCCAGGAGAGTTCTATGCCCATTCCAGGGGGATTGCTGTGCCTCCCCCAGGGAGGAACCTTCCCCACAAGAGAGTTTCCTACTCCCACGGGGGCATTTCTGCTCCACCTCAGAGTCCTCTGTCCTCCCGGGGGAATTCCTGCCCCCAAGGGGGTTTCTGCCGTCTAGGAGAGTTCTCCTGGGGGGATTCCTGTCGCTCCTGAAAGCCTTATGACGCCCAGAGCAAGGGTCCCTCGCCTTTCCAGGGGTATGCTGTCCCCAGGGAGGTTCCTGTCCCCGGGAGCACCCCCGGCCCCCGACCCCCGGCCCCCTCCCCTGGGGGCGGGGCCGCTCGGGGGCGTGTCCGGGGGCGTGGCCAGGCGGGGACGGTGACGCAGTGGGCGGGGCAGGGCGGGGCGGCAGCAGCGGCAGCGGCGGCTTCCAGCGACTTCGGCGGGCGGTGAGTGCGGGCGGGGCCGCGCTGCCCACGGGGGATGCTCGGCCCCGCGCGGGGCCGCCCGGGGGGAGCTCTGCCCCCGTGAGCCCCGTGGGCCGCCCGGGCTGCTCAGCCACCCCGGTGGGGCCGGACCCGGAGGGCTCTGCCCGTATTGCCTCCCCCGGGGATGCTCTGCTGCCCCCCGAGAGATGCTCGGCCCCCCCGTAGGTACGCTCAGCCCCGGTGGGGCTGGACTCGGCGGGCTGTGCCCTTTTTGCCACCCTCCGGGGATGCTCTGCCCTCCTCCCCCCCACCCCCCCTACTGGGAATGCTCCCCATTGCCCCCCGGGCGGGGCCGCAGTAGGGATGCTCAGCCTGCAGTGCCCCGGGGAATGCTCTGCCCCCCCCGGAAGGGGTTGACTCGCTCCGGGGGTGCTTCATCTCCCACCCCGTTACCCCTTGGAGGGGGTGTCTGAGTCAGGGTGTGCTCAGCTCCTTCATTTCCCTTGGGTTGAGTCTGAGCTGGGGAGTGTCATTCTCACGCCGAGCTGGGTTGGAGGGGGGACTTGCTCTGCCCCGGCTTTACCCGCAGACCGAGCATTTGAGCTAGGGTTGCTCCCCTCAGTGCACGGGCCCCGGCCCGAGAGCCGGGGAGATGCGCTGCCCCATCCCCACTGGGTGTGCAGGCAGGAGGGTGAAGGGTCGGCACATCCCCCGAGGCTGCATGCTATGGGGGGCAGGGAGGAGGCAGTGATTCCTTAACCCGGTAGAGGGGGTCTTGATTTTCAGCTGCTCTCTGCCTCTGGCAGACCCCCATGTGCTCCCAAGCTGTCCCTTTGCATCCCCTCCCCAGATTGTACCTTGCACCGAGGGGAGGGCAGGAATGCGGGTGAGCCTGGTCCTCCCATGGCCTTCTCCCAGTCCTCTGATTTCCCAGCGCTGTCTCCTCCTGCCTTCCTCGGTGCTGCCTCCAGCCCTGGAGCATCCACCCAGTGCTGTGCTCTGTGTCAGCCCCACTGAGCATCTGCCTGGCTCCGAGCTCTGGGCTGCACTGGCTCGTGGGGATGCTGCCACACACACGCTCCTGGAGCTCAGCACCAGGTGAATGCCTTCCAAGCAGGGCCAGCTCAGAACTGGGAAGATGCTCATGGATCTGGTTCAGCCTAAACATTGGCCTGTGTGCTCGGGCCTGGCCAGCAGAGCATCCGGCCAGCTTGGCCAGCTCCAGCTGTGCCCACACTGCTTCCCAGCCTCTGTTAGCTCTGTTCACAGGGCTGCTGCAAGCTGCCTCCAGACAGCACTGTTTGCTCCTGAATAACCAGCCTTGAAGGGCTTGTTTATCCCCTCAATTGCATCATTAGAGCAGCAATTGGCTTAGGGAGCTGGGTTTTGTTAAAGCTGTGCAAACCCTTCTGGGGAGGCCCTGGTTTTGGCCAAGTCAGGATTGGCAAAGTGTTCATTTTAGCTCATTTGCCACCATCTGCTGGATGCTGGAATGAGGTTCTCCTGGTGGGTTTAATACCACCAAGCCACTGTGTGAGCAGGAGCTGGTCCAGAGGCAAGCATGAGCTAGAGTTTGGGACCTGGACGAATGTGCCTGTGTGGTTTGGGAGTTTCTTGGTTGTGGTGCTGCCCACACAGCAGGAGGTGGAAATTTGGGTGTCTTTGTGTCTCTGATGATCAGTCTGAGAGTCTCAGGTACCTGTGCTCTTGGGGCCATCACGGTGTGCTGCTCCCTGCACGTGCTCCTTGGGGAACAGTACTGATCACCAGGGACTTCCTTGGAGGTTTGTCAGGGAGCCATCAGCACAGCACATCTCCCTGGCACCCTGTGGTGCTCAGGTGCCTTCCCAGCTTCAGTGCTTGCTCCTCCTGCAGCTCTTTCCCAGGAGTCAGCCCAGAGGCTGGGACCAGTGTCACCAGCAGGAGGGCAGGGGTGCCTCTGGACTGGCTGGTTCCTGAGGCACCAGTGGTGGGACTGACGGACACATCCAGCTTTCTGGAGTGGCCAGCTTGGCAGGTGTGGGATTAAACATCTCATCCCTGTGCAGCTTTGTGTCTCTGTGGTGAGTGGCTCTTGCTCTGTCCCGGTCCAGCTGAGCTTGGCAGCAGCTCCAGTGCAGATGCAGAGGGACTGGACAGCTGGAGGTTTGGGTTCCTGCCTGTCTCAGCTGTCTCAGGAGACACCAGGGCTGAAACCCCCACTGAAACCCTTCTCATCTGCATCTTTGGAGGGACACTTTTGCAAGTCTTGTCCTTTGGGGCAGCTCCCACTGGGGGCTGGGAATGAGGACAGGGATGAGGAGGAGGCTGAGTGAGGCTGAGTTGGTGGGTCCCACTGTGCTGGGTGAGGATGTGGAGGTCCTGAATCAGTGCTGGGAAAGAGCCTGACACTGTGCTGGAGCTGGAATTTCACACTGGAGCTGAGAGAGACATTCTTGGAGCCTCAGAGGGAGCTGAACTCAAATTGGGGCCCAACTAGGAATACCTCTGGAGGGCTCCACTCTGGGCACATGGAGAGACGTTGACATGAGTGTCCATCCTCTGCCTGGGAAGTGCCATTTCAGGGTTTCCTCAAACCGGAAAGATACTGTATTCTTTCTCTAACCTTGAAACCTTAATTCACAATTAATTTCCTCCTAAAGAATGCTTTGGTGAGCCAGAGGTTTCCCAGATGGCTCCCAAAACTGAGATGTGAGGTCTCTGAGTATTAACTGGAGGAGAAGGTTGTTGGATCCCTTATGCAGCTGCCCTCCCTGAGAGGTGTGAATTGACACAATGATATCACCTTCCTTACAGATGATTTCTGGGACGTTCCAAGCACCAGGTGTGGGATGACAGACCTGCCCCAGGCTGAGGGCTCTGCCATGGGTCCAAGCCTTGGCCAGGCTCCTGGGGGATGTGGTTGGGAGTTTTCAGTGCTTCAGGGCCTCCTCTCTGAGCAGACGAAAGGCTCGGAGGTGGGTGCCCGTGTGGGTGTGCTCACACGGGCTGGCATTTAGGAGGGAGGAGGGAAAATATCACATGGAACAACTGCAGTGTTGGGGGACAGGTCTGTGCCTGGGCCCATCTGGAGCAGAAGTTGTGGGAAATGATTCCAGGCTCTTTGCTAATAATGTTGTGCAGATATAATTGGATTTTATTTCTGTTTGCTGTGTGGTCAAGCAGGTTGAAACCCTTGTGGGGACAGGGTAAAAGCCTTGAGTTCATTTGTGGGGTGAGGATGCCCTGAGGAATCAGGCTGAGAAAGCTGGGGCAGTTCAGCCTGGAGAGGAGGAGGTTGTGTGGAGATCCCAGAGCCCTGTCCATGGTGTGAAGGGGCTGCAAGGGAGCTGGAGAGGGACTCTGCAAAAGGAAATGGAGTGACAGGACAAGAGGGTTCACAATGAAAGAAGAGAGGTTTAGATTAGATATTGGGAAGGAATTGCTCCCTGTGAGGGTGGGGAGGCCCTGGCACACCTCCGGGTTCCCCAGAGAAGCTGTGGCTGCCTCTCAGTCCCTGGAAGTGTCCATGTCCAGACTGGACAGGGCTTGGTTAGTAGGGGTTTGTAGGAGGTGTCCCTGCCCATGGCAGGGGGTTGGAATGAGTTGAGCTTTAAGGTCCCTTCCAGCCCAAGCCATGCTGTGATTCTGTGGTTTTATGAATGAAGTATCTGCTCATCTCTCTCATTTTTGTGCAAAACCTGCTGCCCCTCAGCCCTGAGCTGCCCTGGCAGCGCAGTGATTCCCATCCCACAGAAGTGTTTGGGAGCTGGATGTCAAAACTTCTCCAAAAGCCACTGGTCAGGAGGGGACTGACCCTGTGTCCTCCACGTTGCCCTTCCTTAGCTGAATCTTCACCCTGATGTTTTAAGCAGCTCGTGGGTCGCTGTCTCCAGCTCTGTAATCCTGCAGGACTGACAAGGCTGGAATTTATCTGAAATGCAGATTATTTTTTTTTCTGCTCCTGGTTTTCAGTTCCTGCCATGCTTCTCTTAGCAAGCATGAGGAGGTGCCGGCTGGGTGCCTGCCTTTAATTGCATCCAAACATGAAAAAAGAAGAAAACAAGTGGCAGATGAGAGCTCGTTTCCCCATCCTCCTGTCCGTGTCCAGGAGAGGGCAGCTCCCGGGGGTTTTTGCTGCATGGAGCCTCTGCCTGCAGCTCCTGCCGTGT